ATGAATACATCCAGGGCCCTTTAAATAACAGGCAGGCACTCCATTGGTTCATAAACTATATAATTTATTGAAAATACACTATATAGATACACATAACACAAAATGAAATTTTATATATATATTCTATTAATTTCTAAATGTGTTTTTTTACCCCCGCTTAAATATAATGACGAAAAATAAAATTCTTAACCACACCAGAATAAATATAGTTAATTTTTTTCTTTCAGTTCAATGTCTGAAAAAACTTGAACGAGGGTTGTCAAATTTATTGATTTGTGATGTTGCTGAGCTCAAACAATTATTTTAAAACTTTTAAATTTGATCCAGCAAAATTGAGGTTTTTATTAGGCGTGAATACCGTGTTTATACGCAAACACTCCCCCACCACCAAACACCACAACTTTGAAAATATTATTACAATTTTAAAAAGACTATTAGTTGTGAGGGGGGCGACACCGCACTATTTACCCTGCCAACCCAATCGACGACATCCCTTATATCCATTATAATATATACTTTACTTATATTATTAATTCACGAGTGAAAAATTAATATTTAATTAAATAATACTGTTAACATACATTATTTTTTATCGTTTACCTAGGTTTAAGATATCTGAAAACAATGTTTGTGATTTAACGTGAGACGGTGATAGTATAATACCACCGCTACGTAAGATATTGGCGGCGGCCGTGAGATGGAATATAATTATTCAGTCACTCATTTATTTTTCAACCCTAAATAGTAAATACTCCCGAGTTTTCATAAAACCTAAAAATCACACAAATAGGAAATAATATTATATTATATTAGTAAATTTATAAAATATAAAAGAAATATGCTTACTGTATACCAACAACTAAAATTATAAATTATTGTATAATATTATGTTGCATAAGGGTATACTAACTAGGTAGGTAAGTATATTAACTTATAATACATTGCCGTAGTCTGTAATACAAAATACGAACACGGGTATTATATAATTATGCAACAAAACCATGTAAACAATAAATAATAAGACGTAAGTTCATTTTAATATTTACATAGGTATTATTAAAATTAAATTGTCGTGTAAAAACAAATAACAATTGACAGTTAATGTATTTAAAATTGAACAAATATAAACGAATTTGGAATAAAAATGGCATTCATTACCAATGGTAACTACCAGTCAATAGAAAATGTTCACAGATTTGGCTTTAACGTTCACAATTATCTACAATATAGGTAATTCCACAAAATAAAAAAATAAAATTGTGTTTGATCATTTGCTTACAGTAAATTTGAACTGCGGTAATTTTTGTTTACAAGCATTATTTTCATTTCAGTAAATCTATTAACGAAACCCGTTGAATATCAACGTGTTTTAGTTAATAGCTTCACTAAACTGAAAATAATGATCGTAAAAAAATGTACTGAAGTTCAAATTTACTGCACCTACCTGTTAGGCACCAATGAATTCTCATTATTCTGATAAATAAGTTTCACATAAGTATGCTTTCCAGATGACAATAATTTACAGTTATAATTACTGCTATTTATCACTCTTGTACCAACTTATGTTTTATTTTATATTGCTTTAATAAAACTGTTTATGTAGTATTTTTTCGATTTTAAGCGTTTTACCTGAATGTATATGTTTTGAATTTGGGGAATTTGTGAACGTACAATAAGACTTTAAATTCTTTGAACCCGGGTGAAGTATATAATATTTTTAACTATATAATACGATTATACGACCATATATAGCTTAAAACGATACCAAATGTGTATAAAACTCTGTGTGGTCCGTGTCGTATCTTTTTTTTTTTACTTTACGGACACAGTAGAAACGTCCTGGACCCGAGAAAATTGTGTCGAAATGACTCCTGGGGTACAATGTGTATATGGGTATCTAGTACCAACTCTCATTGTCATCGCGAACAAAAGCAAAGTTAACTATATACCATTATATAGGCCGAGCAACCTCTGACGGCTCGGTGCGTGTATTTCCAATGCCCCTCTAACTACCAATAACGGCCTATGGGCTATGGCAACAATATTTGACGTCCCTCTTAATCCTTCAAAAAAATCTCGACTTCACATTTTTAGCTTAAAAATAAACCACATACCTTAAATATGTTTAATACTTATTAATTAAAAGTTCCTACTTATTTTTTAAAATTATTATTTGAATCATATTTATTTTGTTTCTATATTTTTTTCGAAGTGGACAACGATTTCATTATTCCGGGTACATTCCTACATTACAGAAAGAAAATATTTATAACTAATTTCTCAAATTAGTAGATTCTATTATAAATCATACGTTCTGCGTTTCTGCGTGTGGCGTGTAGAACAGTAAACATTGTAAATTATACAAGTGAATATAAGTAAATATAATATTATACAGAATTAAAAAAAAGAGTTAAAAATAATTAACTTTTTAACTTAACTTTAACTTTATAACAAGTTAATGCCCAACTTTGTATTTTCAGTACTGGGTTAGAAATTGTTCTACCCATGATTGCGTTATTTGTTTTAATATGTACCTAATATAAATAAAACGGATGTTTTAACAACAGTATATTATACCTACTCACAGTTCACAAGAGGACCGCAGTTGTCGTACAGCTACAGAGTAGACAAAGTACAAAGTGAATACAAAATAAGTTTATAGGTACTCTATACCTACTTCTACATCGCAATTATAGAGACATCATTAATCATTATTAATAATAATAATAATAATTATTATTATTATTATACTAGGTATTTGCTATTGGCTATTCAATTTAAAAGTTATCAATAACTCCAAAAAAATATAATCAATTTTAGATTTTTTTCTAAGACAAAAATAAATAGCATGAAATAAAATATATTTCTTCGAAACCAATATACCTTACTTTGAAATATATGGATTTTATATTTTCAAATAATTTTGTTTTGAGTTATTTTTCGTTTAATGATATATTATAATATATTGTTATTCGTTATGCTTTGTTTTGCGGTATTTAATTATTTTTGATTATCTCTTTTTGTTATAATTACGTTTACAAATTTCAATCGTTATTTGTCAAATATAACATTATAATCATAACGTTATTATAACGTTTGCAAGCCCTGCTTATCCGAGCTATGTGCGGTCACAGTTAGTTCGGACAATCCAGGTTCTACTGTATAAATATATATATACTGGGTGATTCAAAATGTATGTTACAATAATAGGTATAGTAATAGTATATTATTGTAACATACATTTTGAATTACCCTCTATATGTCTTGTGTGTGTGTGTGTGTGTGTGTGTGTGTGTGTGTGTGTGTGTATGTAGGCCAGACAAGTGCAAGACAGCGCTCCGGTCGAATGTTTTCCCATCAGGATGAAATCCTAAGAACCCTTCTCGTCGAGTTAATGGGGGTGGGGGTGAAGATGGTATATGACTATACAGCGCACAGTCACATAATAGTTGTTCTCCAACGCCCGATCAACTGTGTCGTCGTCGCACGTGTATCCGTTTAACATTCAGCGAATACACCACCATCGCCGAGTAAGTAAGTAATTATAATATATTATAATATTTCGTTGCTATTTATTTGACCAAAATTAACTCATGCTCATATCTATTTATAGGTACGTATCTGCAGTTTTCATCAGCGACCCAATAAGAAGGTATCTTCCGACGAGCTGATTAAAATCAACATTCATAAACACACCAAAATTACTATCGGTAAGTATAATAGGTACTTTGTTATATAATATTATATTTCGTTGTTAGTAATACGGTCGAACGTGGTTAGCTCGGAGTTGAAGGGACCGATAAAAAATTTCGAGTTATACAAGAATTCGAGTAATCCAAAAAAAAAAATTAGATTAGAAATGTAGCTATCAAAGATTATGTTTTCAATCTAAACGTAACTTCCCGTATCGCTGCAGCTTTTTCTTCACATGTACCTCTCAAGCCGTATATGATTAGGGGGGGGATGTCAACCCCCCACCATCCAACTGAAATGTTTTATAGTTAATACATTTAAGTTATGTAAGTAACTTAATTATAATAATTTACTATGTGGCTATGTGGGTAAATAATAATATGATAACTATATTATGTTTGATTATTGTTTATACCGTTAAACATTTTATTATAATCGAGATAATACAAATTCTGATGGCATTTTCTATAATATAATATTATTATATTATACATTTATGAGTCACACACTATTATAAAGACATTTGTTGACGGACGCGAAACGTCTAAGGTACTTAATATAACATTACCGAACATTACATTACTATCGCCTGTATTTCCATTAAATGTAATTCTGAATATTTTATCTATTCTTTTGAAACCATTAGCTACAATGCCAGTTTCGACTTCTACTATTCAAATATACAATATTTTAGTGTCTTATCTTAAAATACCAACCATTTTTTAATCGGTACCCATCTTAGTTGTACTATTCTTATGGAAATCACCCCTTAATTAACATCAAAAATATTTAGTTTTGCGTTTATCGTTATTCAGAAGTGTAATAACATTAAATTTATTACACCTATAATTAATAACTATTGCGGGTAGGTATTACTAGATAATGGTCTGGATACAGAATATAATATGAAATAAATATTTTTATGAAACTAATATAACTTATTTCCTTTTAAGTTATTTTTGATTCAATGAAATTATATAAATTATGGTTTGCGATATTTTACGTTTATAATATTTTATTAAATACGTTTTGCGTTATATTTTGTTCAAAGATATATGATATATTTTGTTAATCAGTATGTTTGGTTAAGTGGTATTTTTGATTATCGCTTTCCGTCATAATTCCGTTTACAACTTTCAATATAACGTTTATAATCATAACGTTATTATAACGTTTGCAAATATGGACAGATATAGTTTGGACGTCGATCTTCGTTTAACGTTTTCGTTTTATATGTTTACAGTGTCGGTACGCGTGAGCTATATTATACCCTCTTTGGTCGATCTTTATTGAAAAACACAACCGCGATGGCTGCAGCGGACGACCAGGTAACGTACGCCGTACCGAGTCTTTTAGAGTTGGCCTACTACGCGTGTGAAAGTGACCAGCGTACATTTTACGACGAGCTGCCCGTCCCGTCCGTCGACTTACGGGTGTGTTGCGATTCGATATTGAAAATAATAAAGTTCAACTCGTCCGCCGATCGTTTTCAACCAAGTGGCCACCTTCGGTCCATGTTCGCCAAAGTGCATCCCTACTACCTCTTGATCAACAACATATTGGAGATGGCTGCTTTCTCCGGACACATAAATTGCATGAAGTTGGGCCGCGCCATCGGCGTGCCGTGGTTCACGTCAGACAAATTGCTGAAATCGGCGTGCGACGAGGCCGCGTCCACGGGCAACATGGAGTGCCTTGTGTACGCGCACACCAACGGCAGCCCGTGGAGCTCGGTAACTTGCGAATTCGCAGCGGAATCCGACCACCTAGAATGTCTCAAGTACCTGCATGAAAATGGTTGTCCGTGGGACGAATGGACGTGTACCAACGCCGCGGGAAGCGGCCACATAGAGTGTCTGGTCTATGCGCGACGGAACGGCTGTCCGTGGGATGTGACCTCGTGCTGCATGGCCGCAATGGGCGGACACCTGCAGTGCCTCGTGTATTGCCGGGAGAACGGCTGTCCATGGGACACTTTCACGTGCGAAATGGCCGCGAGCTCGGGCAGGCTGGAATGCTTGAAATATGCGAGAACAAACGGATGCCCGTGGAACGAAAAAACTTGTATCGTGGCCGCGTCCAAAGGGAATGTGGAATGCCTTCGGTATGCAATCGAGAACGGCTGCGAATGGGATGTAAAAGGATACTTGTTGGGTGTCGACGAAGATGACGATCCGTCTGTCGTGATGTACGCGCTCCAATTAATGTACGGACCGGCCACGGATTCTAGCTCGACCGATGACGAGTAGGTAATCCCGTCGAAATAGAAATTTTAACTTTTAAATAGTAATGGTTTATTTGTTATTATTTATTAGGTACCTACTTGACAATTTGATTTAAAATATAATTAGATGTACCTAGATATAAGCAATTTTTCCGACTATCTTGCAATTAATGATTATACTTATTAATTATATGATTTTAAATGTACAAACAAATATTAGTCGAAACAGGATATTTCATTGTAAAAATTAAAATGATTATTAATTTTGTCTATGAATTAAAAATGCTCTGTTACATTAAAACCTACCATTATTGTACAAATATATATTTCTATTTGTATTGGCATGCTTCCGTATTAAATATAGAAATTATCAATAAACCCAAAATCTTTTGTCTCTCATCTTACCTATGTTGTCATAACCTATATGTGCTATATCGTAACTATCTAGCTACAACAAGCTATGTTTAAATAAGATAAGTACCCAAGAACGTCTTATTGATTTTTCTGTTAAATAATGAACACCAATGTTGATATTAATTGAAATTAATGAATACATAATAAAAAGTGGGAACCGGCTTGTACAACAGGTGTCTAAATGATATTATATCGTTATACCTATGATAAAAACAAATTTTAACAGAGAAGATCTATCAGCCAGCAGCCTATTATATTACTTACCTGCTCGGTAAGTATATATTTTATAATATTATTACTATTAAAATAATTTATTTTTAAATTAGTAATACTGTACTAGAGTAGGTTGAATAGTTTTTTTTCCGAAAACATTGAATTTAAAAATGTCATTGTAGGCGTAAAATATTGTACTTTAAAAGTTTCAAGTACCCACGAATAATATTTTGAAATTACAACAAGTAACTTGTAAATTGTTATTCTTCGTTAAACTATCTAATGTTGTCCAAATTTTAAATTATAATGTTTATAAAAAAAACTGTATTTAACACAGAGTTGAGATGTTTAAAACATTTTGTTTTAAACACTTGTTTAAAACATGTTTTAAACATCTAAATTGATCAAACATGGTTTTGTTTAAAACGTTTAAAACAAATGATTTAAACAACATAAAAAAAACAGCTAGTTTAAAACAGAAAATCATAATTTATGCGCATATAACTTATTATTTGTAAGTTCGTACTGGCAACTCCTATTTATTATTATTTTTTAATTCATAAACAAATTTAAAATTTATAAAATGTATAATGATAATTTTACTTATTTAAATTACTAACACTTCAATGGTTATATAATATATTATTTCTGTAGTTCTGTAGGTAATATATTTATTAATTATTTATTTATTAGAAACTTCACTATAATATTTCCAAATGTCATCACGTCTTCGTCCCGTGAACATGTGTTTTATCTTTTAAGTTTTATTTTGTTTCACACTGTCGCTAATGTAGTATTGTAGTAATGTCAGATGCAGAAGAATAACTCAATAACATCAAAATTAAATTTCATTGATATCATATCATATTATTATTTAATATTTTTTACCTTTATCATATTTTAATATTTTATAATCGGAAATATTGTGGCGCAAACCCACCAAAATTTAAAATAGTAAATACAGTAATCAGTATTCTTTATCACGATGTAGATAACAGATCAGTTCTTTATCATCAATCATTATCAAAATATTCAAAAACGATTTTTAAGTGTAAAACCGATAGCCGTGGTTAAATTACACGTCAAGTTATAAAAAAATTATGATATTAAATTATTAAATAAATGATTTTTTTTTAAATAAATTACATATTATTTTGTTTTAAACTCGATTAAATCATGTTTTAAACATGTTTAAAACAGCTGAAAAAATCATTTAAAAAAAACATGTTTTAAACAAAAAAATCATGTTTTAAACGATTAAAACAATTTTTTTGATTTTTTTAAAAAAAATCATGTTTTTAATCAACTCTGATTTAACAGTATGGCCTATATGACGAGAAACTTTTCGTTAAATTTTCAATATTTAGCTATAGTTATTTGAACATTTTATAAATTTTTTCATTATATAAAATTAAATGAAAATTATCGTAATTTTGACGAATTTTATAAAAATTTGAATTTTTAACGCTTATAAAAAATATCATGACTATGTATTTTTAATATTTTTAAACTGCAGTTATAAAAACTTATGACGAACCTTGCATTAAACTTTCAAGCATTTTTACCGACATTCATAGAAAAAAATTTCAAAATTTCAAACTTCTATAACGTTCGTCAATAACGAAGCAAAGCGTCAACAATATTATTATACTATTTAGAATGTGCGCTAATCGCTACCTCTGTACACTCGATTATTTTGTGAGTGTGAATATTATATAATAGAATTAGGTCCTGGTCAGCAGTTCTAGCTGGCCAGCTGCAGTGCCCCGACGAATCATGTAGGTTATTAGGTAGGTACTATTAATATCACAACAAAAACATTTTGTCGAACTTCGTGTAAAAACGGGTAAGTAAAAAAAAACAGATCGTTCAGCACTTTAAAGATATGACATCATAAATAAATGCTAAGTAAATTGAATTGAGTTGTCTTATTTTGTTTTAATAATTTATTTTTTTACTTGGCTAGAAATTATTTTGCATAGAAATTACAATATTTTCAATAATAAATACGTGAAGTCGTGAAATAGCAATAATGAAATGGGTCACGTACACGAAATGGAGTGGGCAAGGGGGGGTCCAGCATGACAATGTAAAATGCGGTCCCTGTGATTATAGATTTCATTATAATTTCTCATTAAAAATTTGCCCATTTCCTTTAATAACTCAATTTCGAACAGTACGATTTCGATGAGATGTTTTGCACAATATTTCTGATTTTTTCAAATTTATTATTTGTGAATTGACATAGTAGATAATCAGTTAGGTCTGGTTATAAATAAACACCAACATTTAAATGGGCAACACCTACCTCAAAATAATATTCACTTGCTGTCGTACCGCCACTATAATTTTTTTTTACTTATCTGGATCATTTTTTGTTCCTTCGAAACACAATGGGCCCCACCGATCAGGTTCGCGTGGGGACCCATGAGTTCACAACTTACAATAATATGTATTATATTGATATAAGTATTTAGAATATACGTCTTAATTATACACATTCATATTCAGAGGACACTATACACGGTTATTTATTGTCTCCGTCTTAAAAGTGCGTATCATAACAATTTTTTCTGAGGTTCTGTTAATGAACGGTCTCTTCTTCACTCGATTAATGTTTGTAAATAATTTTCAATGTTATCCTTATTACTTATTGTTTTTATTTTTTAAACAGATTGAAAATATTTAACTAAAAAAAAAAAAAAAAACATAGCAAATTTGAACTCAGTAGATTAAGTCTAACTACATTGGTTTAAAATGTACAGTGAAACGGACTATTATGAGACATGATTAAGATGGTAAAAACATTAATATCTGTGTTTGTATGTAGGGTTAGTTCAATATTTCAATATTTTAATGAGTTAAGCGTATAAATTAAAAATTAGTGTACATTAAGAATGCTCATAACTCACATAAAAACTGAATTAGCTAAAATACCATTATTGAGTAATTAAATGTTGATAATATTAGTAGAATGTTACAAGTTTAAACTAAAATCATTATTTTTAGTTATATGTTATTTCTTCGAAATTCGGAAAATCATTCATTGCATTACAGTCCATGACAAAACATACCCATCATCATAATTTATTATTAATATTTAATATAATATAATAATGAAGTAATACGAATACGATACTATTGAAGACTTTAGATATGGTACCTACTGACCTATAAATTTAGTAGAACGTTGTCGTATCTAGATCCTATGATCATTAATCACACTATAGTATTATACTATATCATATAATATATAAAATTTGTCGGTTACTGATAATCAGTAGTAGCTGGTCGCCTTTTGAACTGCAACACCCATATATATTACCATGATTAATCGGAAAACGAATAATTATCGTTGCATGGTAAAAAGTACAATAAACTTGGCCACCGAAAAAAAACAAAGTAAAAAAAAACATGTACCGTAACGAAACCAAAATAATCATAAATAAACATTTTTCGTCCAACTAGCTTCGAGTTCTGACGAACAATTATAATATTGTCTGCGATAAAGCAATAAAGTATAGATAATATTTTAGTAACGTTATGAGCCCGAACGACTGTCACCACTACACTAATATTAATTTGCACAATATTCATAAACACATAATTATACCTTTTATTAAAATTACCACAAGTCACTATCTTTAGTCACGATTAGGTACACAAAATAACAAAACATACAATTTAAAAGTAATTTGATAATGCTAGAATATTTTGGTAGGTACCTACTTACCTATGTTAGATTTTAAAGGTAACGATGAATATCTATTGATTTTATAATGAAGAGTATTTTTTGTTTGTGCTCGGAAACACTTTTTCTAGTAGAAAAAAGGCTCTAATCATCGACTTAGATGGATGTTCCTGGTTGAAAATCTGATCTTTGGGATCATACTTCTACTGGGGATTTCCTACTTTTAGGAGGTTATGATTGAAAATTCTCAGTACTTTTTTTAAATAATCGGGAAAAACTAATAATACGAACATTTTTTGTTAAAATGTTAACATTATTATAAAAATATTTATTTGGTAACCTTGGTTAGGTTAGGAGTCCACCCTCAAAGTCAGTGCTGGTCGAACCACCAAGAACGCCCTAGGGCATTGGTCGGTAATCTGCTGCTCACGGGCTCTTTTGGTCTAAAGTTGCGGCTCTCCAGCTACACACAAAAATTAATATTTTATGTTCAAAAACAATATTTTATATTATAATATAATATAATATAATATAATGTAATAATGTTGTAATATAATATTTTTATTACACAATTATCGTAACATAATGTAATATAATGATGGTTTGTCAGTCTGGATATTTTATATTGTTAGGTCTGGTAGTGTAATAAATATTTGCAATAACTTTGAGATTACGCAGGAAAAAAATCAGAATTACAATGGACGAGT